CTGAACGTTCAATTTGGGGGAGGAGGGGGGATTGGGGGCAAAGGTTTTGACAATGTTGAGACGTCCCGTTCTGACATTTCCGGAACAAAAATGTTTACATGTTTTCCTTTCAAAATGGCTTTTTGTTCCCAATTCTTTTATTTGGTGCTATATGTTCTACTGTAACACTTCCCAAAGTTGTAAATTGAAACAAAATGTTTTCATTGTGTCAAAAACAAAACCGTCTGACCTACCCCAAAATAGCTTTTTTCAGATGTTTCCTTTGCCAAGAATTTCCAAATGTTGGAGGTTGAACTGGAGCGAAGCCAGATTTGAAAATCTCAGCATCTTCTGCAAACTGGAATTTCCATTCACCGTTTCGACTAGAAACGGCCGGAATCCCTTCCAACTAGATCGACTCCAGTCAACGATCAGGTATGTTTCCTGGTTACTTGGGGGCAAATGGGAGTTCCCCCAAAACCAGAGGCTGCCCCGCTGTAAACTGATCCACACATTGCTACCAGTCTGGACCCAGCTAGACTTGCATGTCAGAATGCAGAGTGAAAGGAAAAGTTACGGCGAGTGGTTGCATCTGACTTGCATCTGAAGAAGTGAGGTTCTTACCCACGAAAGCTTATGCTCCCAGTACTTCTGTTAGTCTTAAAGGTGCCACAGGACCCTCTGTTGCTTTTTACAGATTCAGACTAACACGGCTACCCCTCTGATACTTGGCGAGTGGTTGTTACTGTTCTACTCTGTCATTATGGTGACGAGCACGGTGCAAATACCTAGACAGTAGCATAGCTAAGGGAGGGTGCATATCGTGTCTGGATGCAGACGACAGAATGATGCAACCGCGGTCCGTCCCTGCTGCTATGCCATCTGTAACCGGGCTGCTGCGGGAGGGGACGAAGAAAAGCATGCCAGGTTTTGTGTCTGTTTTAGAAGGGTTATTGTTTATTAAGCAGGCTAGTCACATTGACAGTGGTTTTATTAACAGCAGCGGCCAACCCTGCTCCAGGAGCGCATCCTGACCTGTGTTTCTTCCCTCCCCCGGGGTACCAGTTAGCTACCCAGCCTGCAGAGCAGAGTTGCCCGTGTGCTGACACGCAACATGACAAAGGAAGGGTTAGTTGGCACAACATCGATAAATAAAGCCGGGTGCCCCCTTCCCCGGTAACAGGCGGCCACTGCTTTCAGGTGCTTAGCTGGTTATACGGGACATGAAGGTAGCTGCGTGTACATGGGATGTTTGGGGACGGCAGTGAACCAGGAGAGGCTGTGAAGGGCAGAGATAGGCATCAACCTCTTGGGATGATTCATTATGGAGTCAGTCTTTTCTCTGCCACAGCGCTGGTCCCGGGCATGCGATACAGAAGGCTTCAGGACTGCCAGGTTTTCTCACTGTGGTTTCTCGAGACCAAGGCGGCCTTTTGGTCGCCCATCCCTCTCCCGTGAATTTCAGTTTTGTTCTGCTTTTGGCCAGGCAACGTACGAGCTAGCCCTGGGGCTCCAGCCTTGCTGCTGTGGGGAAATAAGCGAGATGCGGATCAGCTGCATTTTTTTAACCACACACAAAAAAACCCCCAAACCACCACAACTGAAAGTCAGGGCTCGGTAGAGAATGAATGTTAAGAGCGATATCCAAGGCGCAGCCGCTAAATCCTGTAGAGCTCAATGGAAGAGGAGTGAGAATTCCCAGGCATCAGGTAGTACCATCCCGGGCTGAGCACCTTAGGAACCTGGCAGTCCGGGTGCAATACGGGCACTGCCCCTTTATCTGCTTCTGGGGCACGAGGACATCAGGCAACCATTGCTCTCACAGGTCCACGGGCTGAGCATAAGCAGGTCTCGAGTGCGTTCATCAATCCCACGGCCCTTACACGGGCCGAGGAAGGGAAAATGCTACGTTGGAACCCGCTTCTGCTTTTGCTCCAGGTGCTGAAATGTACACTGCCGGGATTCCCCTGTCCCTTACGCTTGCAGGGGGGGCTGGCACCATTTGTACAGTGCAGGTGCTGAGAGCCATTGAACCAAACTGTCAACCCCGTCTATCATGGACACCACTTCAAACCAGTTCCAGCACACTTGTGTTTACACTGACTCCCGTGGAAGCGCTCTGGATTTGCAGCAGCATCAGGGAAAGGGAATCAGGCCTGCGGGGTTCTTCTGGACTGCAATTCAGACCGTTGGGATGAACCTCCCCAGCCAAGCCACGCTCAGCACAGAAAGAGAAGGACAAAGAGCGGATACACCTGGGCAGAGGGTCTTTCTGCCTCGCCGATTGATTTGGTGTTCAGCGCCCGTCTGCACCAGAGGGGAGCCGCAACGGTTGGGCTGGGCTTGAAACAGTCACAAAGAGAGACCTACAGTGGCGTTAGACAAGCTCCTGTCTTCCCATTTGCCTCGCAGGTGATGGGCTGCCAGGTCCCCAACTCCTGGTTCTCCACCCCCGGGTTATGGTTGGGGCAGGTTTGCATCTCAAGATGGCATGGAAAGCTGTAGGCCAGCCAGTGTCCAGGCTCAACTTCTACCCAACACGGAGAGGCGTTTGGGAGCATAAAGAGAACGGGTTTTAAATGCAATTCCGATGGAAAGTGCCCACATAAAAAATGGTGCAAGGCAGCTCCTTGGATGGCTTCAGATTCGCCCTGATTGATTTAGGGGGTTGGACTAGATGAGGGGGTTGGACTAGATGACCTCTTGAGGTCCCTTCCAACCCTGATATTCTATGATTCTAATGACAACAAAGTTTTAATCACTTTTCTGCTTTCAGCCCTGGAATAAACCCACCCCGGCTCGGGAAGAACGAGCTGGATTCCATTCCGGCTCACACATAGATTCATAGATTCTAGGACTGGAAGGACCTCGAGAGGTCATCGAGTCCAGTCCCCTGCCCGCATGGCAGGACCAAATACTGTCTAGACCATCCCTGATAGACATTTATCTAACCTACTCTTAAATATCTCCAGAGATGGAGATTCCACAACCTCCCTAGGCAATTTATTTCAGTGTTTAACCACCCTGACAGGTAGGAACTTTTCCCTAATGTCCAACCTAGACCTCCCTTGCTGC